TATACTTCCAAAGCAGCCTCAGAACAGACAGGGAACCCCAAAATACTCAGCGGCTCTTAAGAGGGTAGAGCTACATATATGTGAGAAAGAAACCTTAGATTGGATGCTTCTAGAGGACAGGGACTGATGTGAATATACAACACATATGTAAATTATTTGCACTATAGAAATATCTGCAGTAAATAAAACAGATGTTCTTCCCTGATACCAGTACTTGTTACAGCACCCTGAAAACCTATGGTCCCACTCTGTATGGTGTGCGATAGGATTATGTTCTATATTTGTCTACCACTGGACCAAAGGGATAATCAGAGATGATCAGATGGTCTGTCGCATTAACAGGTCAGTAGATAAAGGCAACTGTGGGATAACCACGCAAAGGTAATTAGCAGAGATGATGGTAGAAAAAAGTGTACTTTATTGGCACGGCACATGATTGACTACTGCCATCTGATCTGCTGGAGGAGCTCGTTCTTTCTCTTACATTTTCTTTATCTATAAAAAGAAAGCAAAATGTTTCACATATATGATATTATATATATATATATATATATATATATATATATATATATATATATATATATACACAGGTGAAACTTGAAAAATTAGAATATCGTGCAAAAGTTAATTTATTTCGGTAAAAGCAACTTAAAAGGTGAAACTAATATATATGAGATAGACTCATTATATGATTGATCATTACGTAATTTGTCATAATTGTGATGATTATGGCTTACAGCTCATGAAAACCCCAAATCCACAAAATTAGAATATTGCATGCAATCAATAAAACAAGGATTGTACATAGAACAATATCGGACCACTGAAAAGCATAAGCATGCATATGTACTCAGTACTTGGTTTAGGCCCCTTTTGCAGCAATTACTGCCTCAATGCGGCGTGGCATGGAAGCTATCAGCCTGTGGCACTGCTGAGGTGTTATGGACCAGGATGCTTCAATAGCGGCCTTCAGCTCTTCTGCATTGTTCGGTCTCTCATGTCTCTCATCTTTCTCTTGGCAATGCCCCATAGATTCTCTATGGGGTTTCAGGTCAGGCGAGTTTGCTGGCCAATCAAGCACAGTAATCCCACGGTCATTGAACCAGGTTTTGGTGCTTTTGGCAGTGTGGGCAGGTGCCAAGTCCTGCTGGAAAATGAAGTCAGCATCCCCATAAAGCTCGTCTGCGGAAGGAAGCATGAAGTGCTCCAAAATCTCCTGGTAGATGGCTGCGTTGACCCTGGACTTAATGAAGCACAGTGGACCAACACCAGCAGATGACATGGCTCCCCAAATCAACACAGACTGTGGAAACTTCACACTGGACTCAAGTATCTTGCAGTGTGTGCCTCTCCATTCTTCCTCCATACTCTGGGTCCTTAGTTTCCAAATGAGATGCAAAAGTTGCTCTCATCAGAAAAGAGGTCTTTGGGCCACTGAGAAACAGACCAGGTCTGTTTTTCTTTAGCCCAGGTAAGACGCTTCTGATGTTTGTTGTTCAGGAGCGGCTTGACAAGAGGAATACGACATTTGAAGCCCATGTCCAGGATCCATCTGTGTGGTGGTGGCTCTTGATGCACTGACTCCAGTCCCCAACACTTTTGAATGTCCTTTTCCTGACAACTTTCTCCAGGCTGCGGTCATCCCTGCTGCTTGTGCACCTTTTTCTTCCACACTTTTCCCTTCCACATAACTTTCTATTAATGTGCTTTGATACAGCACTTTGGGAATATCCAACTTATTTTGCAATTACCTTTTGAGGCTTTCCCTCCTTATGGAGGGTGTCAATGATGGTTTTCTGCACAACTGTCAGGTCAGCAGTCTTTCCCATGATTGTGTTTCCTACTGAACCAGACTGAGAGACCATTTTAAAGGCTTAGGAACCCGTTGCAGGTGTTATGGCTTAATTATCCGATTAGAGTGGGAAACTTTGAGCCTAGAATATTACAATATTCTGATTTTCTGAGATTGTCCCCAGTAGTACCACAGTATACAATAATAATGTAAGAGACACAATTCTTTAGGAACAACTTTACACTAGACTTGTTCCAAAGAATAGGCTACTGGAATAATGGGTTTAGTATATACAAACCCCAGTTAATGCATAAAAGCACATTGGTAAAATAGGAATACTCAATTAGCAATATTTACCAGTCAGGAGGTGTAAACTTCAACTATTTAATTGCAAAACCAGCAGTAAAAGAGGGAAGAAAAGGATTGTTGACTTATCAGCTCTTTCCATGCCACCAGCGCCACAATGGGGCATACAGAGAATTATGTAAATGTATACTCTGGCATAAATAGCTATAAGTACCCTAAGTTGAATAACAATGGCTTTGGAGGAGAAAAGGTTCCTTTAATTAGAGATTTGCAACTTGAGTCCTGCAAAGTTTAAAAAACCACTTCAGCTCCGGAAGATTTACTCCCCTTCCTGACCAGGCTATTTTTTGTGATACATCGCTGCGTTACCTAAACTGACAATTGCACGGTCATGCAACACTGTACCCAAATGAAATTTAAGTTTCCTTTTTCCCACAAATAGAGCTTTCTTTTGGTGGTATTTGATCACCTCTGTGGTTTTCACTTTTTGTGTTATAAACAAAAAAAGACGAACAATTTAAAAAAAAACTCAATATTTTTTATTTTCTACTATAAGCTATCCAAGAAAAAATAAAAAAAAATTTCTTTATAAATTTACGCCAAAATGTGATTTAAATATTTATGGTAAAAAAAAAATCCCAATAAGTGTATATTGATTAGTTTGCACAAAAGTGATACAAACTATGGGACATATACTGGAATTTTTTTTTTATATACTAGTAATGGCGGCGATTAGCAACTTATGGCGGGACTGCGATATTGAGGCGGACATTTTTACACTAACTGACACTTTGTGGGAAACTGTGACCCTAATACAGTGATCAGTGCTAAAATATACTCTGATCACTGTACTAATGACACTGGGGTTAACATCTAGGGTGATTAAGTATGTGCCTAGCTATGTTCTTGGTATACTCTAGGTGGTGCTGGTACAAGGGGAAGTAATGAATCATGTTCTGAGCTCTGCTTTGACACACGATTGATTACTCCCCCCTGTCATATATAAATATAGGCAGAGCTCTGTTGTTCCTCCCTGCCCAACGATCTGCAGGTGCCAGCGAACAATTTCTAACAATTGCTCCAACAGTTGATCTGTTTTCACCAAGCTGCTTGGCAATTGCCCCGTAGCCCTTTCCAGCCTTGTGGAGGTCCACAATTTTGTCTCTGGTGTCTTTCAACAGCTCTTCGGTCTTGCCCATGGTAGTAGTTGGCGTCTGACTGACTGTGGGTGTGGACAGGTGTCTTTAAAGAGCTCAGACAGGTGCTACTAAGTTAGATTAATGAGTGGAGTAGAGGTGGACTTTTTAAAGGCACAGTAACAGGTCTTTGAGGGCCAGAATTCCTGCTGTTTCTTAGGTGTTCAAATACTTATGTTCAGCAGTGCAAGACAAATAAATTCTTTAAAAATCATACAATGTGATTTCCTGAATTTTTTTTTTAATTCTGTCTCTCAGAGTGGCAATGCACCTACAAAGTGAATTTCAGACCCCTCCATGATTTCTAAGTGGGAGAACTTGCAAAATCGCAGGGTGTTCAAATACTTCTGTTCCTCACTGTATATTGTACATTCACATCAGTCCCTAACCCTCAAGGGGTGTACAGTCTAAGGTCCCTAACTCACATACATACACATACTAAGGCCAAATTAGACAGGATCCAATTAACCTAACAGCATGTCTTTGGAGTGTGGGAGTACCCAGAGGAAACCCACACAGACACAGGGAGAGCATGCAAACCACAGGCAGGTGGGGCCATGGTTGGGATTGGAACCGACGACCCTAGTGCTGCCAGACAGAAGTGCTTACCATTTAGCCACTGTGCTGCCCATTACACAAAGATCTGGGGCAAATATTATCAAGGGTGGAGGAGATGGAAGAAAAACTAGATAAACATGCCCAAATTATACTATATTATATTGTAACTTACATACACATACTAGGGTCAATTTAGACAGGATCCAATCAACCTACCAGCCTGTTTTTGGAATGTGAGAGGAAACCAGAATACCCAGAGGAAACCCACGCAGGCAGATGGAGAACATGCAAACTCCAGGAAGGTGGTGCTGTGATTGGGATTTTGAACCAACAACCCTAGTATTGCAAGGCAGATGTGCTAACCATTTAGCCACTGTGCTGTCCATACTGAATGTGGCGATGTTTACTCCCTCTGATGCCAGTCAAATATCCACTCCTGCTGGCCACAGTCTGGCCCTCTTAAAGTCTGAAGGACTTGGCCACAGTTCTGAATACAATTGCTGCAGTGATGCTCATGGAGAGAATTTATTACACCTTACTGGATACGATGCACTTATTTGACAGAAAATGGGAAGTCTGGAGAACTTATAGGCATTTACTATCTGACTAATGTCCACTCATATTTTGGTTGATTCAGTCATTTTCTTGGAAGCTATATAGCGTTACATACCCCTCTACTTATGCTGCTCATGTACTTAATTTCTCTTCTCTTTTTTTCCTTTTTTTTTTATTTTACATGGTTGTACCATTTGAAATATGCATTACTGATGTGCCTTGTTCTTGTTGTATGCTTTACTTGATACTGTACTGCCATTTAGTAGTATATATCTTGACAAAAAAACTAAATAAAAGTAAACAAAAAAAAGTCTGAAGGACAATAAAGTGGCCCTCTGTTTAGAAAGTTTGGAGACCCTTGCTCTAGAGTTATAGATAGCATGGTCTCCTAGGAACAAGCGTTCTTGCATAGGCTCATGGTTTGATTGCAGGTATTGCCTTGCGGCCTGTCAGTGTGACGAACAGAGATGCCTGTGTGAAGACCGGGCAGTGACAGTCCTGATGCAGAGCAGCTGATGTGAACCTGGTGTGGCGATCAGCATCACTGCTGTGCTAAACTGATGTGCATGTCCCAGGGGTGCACTGACAACTCATGGGGCCCCCAGGCAATAGGGGATCATGGGGCCCCTGTGTCCTTGCCCAAACTCCAAAAAGCCTATGAAAAAGGTACCAGGGGCATCTCATGGGGCCCCCTACTGACCGGGAAGTACCTGAGTTTCCAAATGGTCAGTCTACCCCTGGCATGTCCATAGGAATGGGTTCACACTCGGGATGATCGGAGGGATAGAGCAGTTATGCCTAGTCTGTGCAAACTGCCAAAAGCTGTGGTTAAGGCATGGGCTAGGTGTGGACACTGCAAAGGGCCACTCATGGAACTTGTGCCAAGTCCTCTGCTGCCTGTTAAGTATGTTGTGGATCTGTCAACTGAGTTCTGCTCAGGGGTTGAGGAGTCATCCTGGCCGACTGGTGGGAGACAAGGGGGTTCAGTGATCTCAGTATTGTTCAGCAGGAGAGAATCAGCTGAGGAGTAGGGTAGAGGCTGATGTCTGGAGGGTTCACTTGTGGTCGGGGTCAGAGGATCATGATCACTATCAGTAGAAGAGAGGTTGTGGCAGGGCTTACATTAACAGAGCCAATGGTTGCTGACGTGTGACGAGGCATTAGGGTTGGGAAGAACACCAGAGAATCCAACAGCCACTATTCACTCTGTCGCCCCTGCACAGAAGGAGCCAGATCCTATTATACAAGCAGGTTAGCCGGTGGGGAGGCTGATCCAGGGTCCCTGAAGTGTAGGGCAGAATATGAGTCTGTGGTGGAGGAAGTCAAAAACTGGGACTCATCAAGCACCTCAGACTTAGAATGGGACTGGGGGGGGGGGGGTCCAACGCATACAGAAATGCTGTTTATAGGGTTATTTGCTGGGGCACCCTCTGCCTTTATTACTGATTTGCCAGGTTTGTTGCCCTTCAAAAGTGAAATGAATTGTTACCTAAAGAGATGTGGTGCTAGTGAATTTTGCAGAAGGGTGACCCTTTGTGGAACGGCTACAGTGTGTCTTGTTGTGGACCAGCAGAACCAAAAGCTAGGTAACATGTCTATGGGTGATTTAACATTGCTGCCAAACACCATTTTCACCTTAAGTAGGGATTGGTACTGATTGTGCAAGAAGTGTAAATATTGTAGTTAGTTTTCTAGAAAAGATAGGATGTATCTTTCAGTTTTTTTCCAGGAATCTGGAAGAAGACAAGGCATCAAAACATGCTGCATCTATACCAGGGGCGGACTGACAACTCATGGGGCCCCTGGGCAATAGGGGATCATGGGGCCCCTGTGTCCTGGCCCACACTCAAACCACACCCAAAAAAGTCTGTGAAAGGTACCAGGGACATCTCATGGGGCCCCCTACTGACCCCGGGCCCTCGGGCAGTGCCCAAGTTCCCCAATGGTCAGTCCGCCCCTGATCTATACTGATTAGTTTGAAATAGGTCCGTGTTGGTTTGCTAAAATGTAAATGTGGTTTGCATTTAAGCCCATTAAGGAGCATTTCAACAAGTCACTGGGTGGCAAAATAGTCACAGGACAGGGTTCAAGGGCTCTATCCCATGCTATCCTTAGGTTTACGGAATGTGCTAAATTATTGGTTCAGTTGGAGGGTTATATTTGAGGAGATAATACTTCAACGTTATGCTCAGGGGTGGACTGACCATTTGGAAACTTGGGCACTACCCAAGGGCCCGGGGTCAGTAGGGGGCCCCATGAGATGCCCCTGGTACCTTTTTCATAGGCTTTTTTGAGTTTGGGCAAGGACACAGGGGCCCAATGATCCTCTATTGCCCGGGGGCCCCATGAGTTGTCAGTCCACCCCTGGTTATGATGTAGTGTTAATATGCTCTGTTAACTCCAATCTCTTGCAGGAGAGTGACGCTGAAAATTTGCGCTTTAAATCTTATCTCTAATGCACTAACCATTGATGTTTAGCTAGTGGTAGGGCTCTACCAAGTTAGGCTTTACATTTCTTTGTTCACTTACTGACGGTTGTTAGAGTTCTGAGTTGGTCCTGATGTGACCTGATGCCAGATGTGATATACCAGGGGCAGACTGACAACTCATGGGGCCCCCGGGCAATAGGGGATCATGGGGCCCCTGTGTCCTTGCCCAAACTCCAAAAAGCCTATGAAAAAGGTACCAGGGGCATCTCATGGGGCCCCCTACTGACCCCAGGCCCTCAGGCAGTGCCTGTTTCCAAATGGTCAGTCCACCCTGTGCTATACTGTATAGAGCTTTACACTCGCAATTTATATTTATTTATGTTGCCAAAGAATTTTCTGCCATGTGGAATGCCACATGTATTTTGTTGCTTTGTTATTTTCCTTTCCCCATCCCTGTTGCCATGGGATACCCCACTCTGGGCGACAAGAGCTGTGTTTTTGTTTTTTTGCCTCAGCCTGGCTGCATCATGAAATAAAAGTGTTGAACAACAAAAAGCAAAATAAAAATGTATCTATGTATTAAATATTGGTGAAGCGTTACCAATATGACATAACACAAATCATATATCATACAGTAAATCCTCATACCATACCCCTTTATCATAAACAGATTCTCCCCCAGTATTCAGTATTATTTTGTGAAAGTGCAGAAAAACCAAACAACATATATAGCTCTTAACCACTTGCCTACCGGACACTTTCACCCCCTTCCTGGCCAGACCAATTTTCACCTTTTAGACCTGTCGCACTTCGAATGACAATTGCACAGTCATGCAACACTGTACCCATATGAAATTGTTAGCATTTTTTTCACACAAATAGAGATTTCTTTCGTGATATTTTATCACCACTGGGTTTTTTTTGTGCTATAAACAAAAAAAGACTGAAAATGTTGAAAAAATGCATTTTCTTTGTTTCTGTTATAAAATTTTGCAAATAAATAATCTTTATATACAAATTTAGGCCAAAAAATATTCTGCTACATTTCTATGGTGAAAATAACCCAAATCAGTGGTAGGAAAGTTATAGAGTCCACAAACTATGGCATATACTGTATCTAAAAATTTATATAAATCCTGATGTACTGACAGCCTTATTTCTTGAGGCCCAAAAAGGCCAGGACAGTACAAATACCCCCAAATGACTGCTTTTCGGAAAGTAGACAGTCTGAGGTATTTAGTTAGAAGCATTACGAGTTTTTTGAAGTTGTAATTTTTTGTCATAATTTTGTGGAAAATAAAAGAATGAAAAAACCATTTTTTTTTACATATTGTCACCAATGCAGTACAGCATCATTGTATAACTGGTCCGGCGGTGATCAGGGACACTGACTGGCGACAGAATGTAAAAAAAAATAATACGTTTTTTCAATTTTATAAATATTTTTTTTCTACTCCTGTGACCAGAGCAATATGATGTTTACCATAGTAATTGATCAGGATTTTTTTTTTAACACATTATGCTTGCTTATATCAATGAGTGTCATTGGTATAAGCAAGCATTTTTACTGAATGAAACTGATTCATTCAGTAGTTTTTGTTGTGATCAGCTGTGATTGGCTCAGTCTGTACATGTGACCAATCAGCGAGCAGCCCTGTTGTAAGCAATGAATGGCATGAAAGGAAGCCATTCATTGTTTACAACTGTACTTACTATACTTACGGTGTGCAGTGGTTTTGCATAGAGCAGCCTGGATCCTCCTCTTCTCCGGTCCTCCACAGGCTCTCCTGGCTCCTCCTGTCTGTCAGGTGCCCCCACAGCAAGCAGCTTGCCATGGGGGCAGCCGCTGCTCCGTGTGTCCATTCACGCATGGAGCCACGGTTTGGCCCTGCCCCCTCTCTCCTCATTGGCTGACTGGCTGTGATTGACAGCTGCGGGAGCCAATGGCCAATGAGGAGGCAGAGACCAAGGCTGTCATTCACATTGCTGGATCGCGATGAGGCTCAGATAAGTATTGAAGGGGCTGGGGGAGCTGCTGCACATAGAAGGTTTGTTACCTTCATGCATAGAATGCATGAAGGTAATAACCTTCAGCCATTACAACTAAACTTTAAAATTCCACTCACATGTTAAAGAATTCATAGAGGCGTGTAACAGGCTATTAGCATACTTGACTTTCCGAAATGGAGTCTACGCCTCGACCAGCGTGATGAGGTCCCTGCCCGCCTGATTTGGCTGGGTTTCTCAAAGGCTCCGAGCCTTCTTTCCAAACCTACATGTTTTTGGCTGCATCATGACACTTGCTGTCATTACAAGCAAGCCAGTACAGATGTGTTAGTAATAGTTGGTAACACAATGGTATCCTAATCATACGATCCTTTCATGGAAAGAAGCTTAGTATAGCCTAGCAACAGATAGCCCATGTGGGACTTTTGTAATACGTTATAGAAACAAGATACTGAGGTAATAAACATCAAGGAACGTTGAGAAAACTGGTGCTTGTTCTTGTTTTAGACAATGGTAAATATTTATTATAAATGTTAAAATTACTGTAAATCGACACATTACACTTTTGTATCCTATATTAACATGGACCTGATATTAACTCTACAATCCTGCATGCATGAAGTCCTGAAAAGATTGAATTAAAAAACATTGAACTTTTTTCATTAACCTTTTGCTGTCCACGTAATGTGTATTTGTGGCAGAAAATGGGATGGGCATTAATGTCCACCCGCTGTAATGTGTCTATAGACAGCATACGTTTTTATGCTGAGAGTGCGTTTACTGCGTGCTGTAAAATATCGTATTGTCTCGATATTTTATTAACTTGTATTGATGAGAAATGTTCAGATAGAAAGTCCTTCCACTTCTTGCGTAAACTCAAAAAGATGATTTAATTATAACGTTGCATAAAATTAGAAATAAAATATTGGCATACAGAATGTTTAAATAATGTCCAAAAAATATAGTTAAGTTCTTGATAATAAGATTGTATATATGTATATGTGTTTGTATGTGTGTGTGTATGTCTGTCGCATCAAGGCTGCTATAGAGTGAGTGAAACTCAAACCTTTGTTCTACTCTTAAAAGAGCAATCCAGCCCCCAATCTCCTAAAAGTGGGTTGGTATTCTCTTGTAGTCCTACTAAGATAATTGGAAACAGATGTGTATATATAACAAACCTCCAGTCTACTTCTCCTAAAGTCTGAGCGTAACCTAAGAAGGCCTAGACAAAACTTCACTGACATTCCATCAATTAGAATACATTAGATGTATAAACACATACATATATTTATATATATATATATATATTCTCCTAAAAGTAATCTTACTAAGAGTTATCTCGTATATAAATATCGTAATCAAGAAATATTACAGTATAAAACCGAACAATTCACTAGTTA